TTCTGCATAATCAACCCACATGCATGATAATAAATCTTGCATACTCCATGCTTGATCAAAATAGCTAGATTTCGTTCTTGCAGCTGACCAATACTCAGTAGATTATTTTTAAGCTCAGGACAATAAAATACTTCAGTATTCACTTGACTTGTTCCGTTGACTAGTAGCTTGATGCTTCCCTTCCCCATCATTGCCATTTTAGTGTTATTGCCCAATTTCACAACCTACCTAAAAGTCTCATCTAGATGGAGAAACCACTGTCTATCTCTAGTCATATGGTTGCTGCAACCTGAATCTAGGAACCACATTGTTCCTCTCTTAGAATTGTGAAGATCCACATGAGCCATTAGCAACATCTATAGTTCTTCATCTAGTTCGACATAATGAGCTCTTTTTTCCCAACTAGGACACTCGTATTGGAAGTGTCCTAGCTTGTGGTATTTGTAGCACTCCACAAGTGCTTTGTTAAATCCTTGACTGCCTCTACCTCTTCCACGACCTCGGGATGCACCTCGGCCACCTTTGCCTCTTCCTTGTTCATATGAGACATTTAAGGCTTGTTCATCACCTCCATTGTGACTGTCCATTCTTTGTTCATGAACAAGTAAGCTACGTTGAAGCTCATCTATGGTAAGTTTGTCCAAATCATTGGACTCTTCCACTGAACATACTACATAATCGAATCTAGAAGTCATCGATCTGAAAATCTTCTCAATGATTATGACCTGCTCCATCTTCTCTCCATTAACTTTCATCTTATTTGCAATACTTAGTGTCCGACCAAAATACTCGTCCACCTTCTCCCCTTCTTTCATGTGCAACACCTCAAATTCTCTACTTAAAGCTTGCAATTAAGCCCTCTTAACTGGTGTTGACCCCTGGTATTTCTACTTCATAGAGTCCCATATGCTCTTCGAACTCTCCTTATCAAGGATTGTCTTCATGATCGTGCGATCAATGGCTTAAAAAAGGTAATTTCTCACCTTTAGGTCCTTGAGTCGCTGCACCTCCATTGTTTCCTTTTGTGCTTCTGTTGGCATAGCTATTGTGAGAACTCCTGACTCTATCAAGTGCTAATACTCTTTGGATCAAAGAAGATTCTCCATGCGCATAGCCCAATGGTCTTAGTGACCATCGAACTGAGGAATGACAGCTTGAACGTATTTCTCTGTTGCCATCTCACTCTTTCTTTCCTTTTTTTTGATCCTTACAAAGTGTTTCACTCGTTTTTTCCAAGTGTTTCACTCGTTCTCTCTTGTTAGGATACTGCAGTCCCTAACTTCTCTCAATCAGACCCCTGTGTGGAGCTCTGATACCAATTTGTTGTACTCTCAAGCTCTAATCAAACAACACAAATAATCTGGGAGTTCAAAAATATGTTTATTCAATAATAGATATTATGGCTTTATACAAGCCTTACAAAACAGAATTGCAAAAAGACAGCTACCACGTTTACATAGCCTAAAGACGTGGTCAATCTGTTACAGGAATAAATCAAACTTAAACCAAAGTCCTACAAACCAGGACATTATTAACAGAAGCAATGACTAAGATGGACTAAGTCATATTGACTTAGTCACCAAGTAATCAACAAACCCAATAGGTCCTACAGAATTCATTGTATATTTAAAAATTGATATTATGCCATATCAAATAATTTAAATAAGGTGGTACACATATCATTATTATATTTGTAATGCTATACAAACTTATTCACCACCATTGCCATTCATCAATTCAATTTCCTCCGCGGCATTTATCTTCTTTCCTGCAATGGCGTTGTGGGCTACGGTTCTCGGGGTTCAGCTTCTGTCCAGCACAGCCACCAGGCTTATTGTTGCAACGGCCCTCGAATTCCATAGGCGGAATCTTATGAGTCGTCGCCTCTGCCTCCACCTCCACCTGATTTACTACCAGGATGGCGATGATAATTGCACAAAGGAACCAATGCCTCATTTTGTTAAGTCTTTGGATTGATTCTTCAACTCACGAAGGTAATTTTTCCTATGGAGTTTCTAATAAATGGCATGAGGTTGGAAGTTTTTATAGGCCTCAATAGGGCTTAAAATAGGACCACTTAGCATGCTTGGCCATTGTTAAATTAGCTTTGCCAAGATTGACTCTATGGTTGTAACTTGAGAGAGAGAGAGAGAGAGAGAGAGAGAGAGAGGGAGAGGATCTAAAAAACCTACGCAGAATCGGAAGGTGAATTAACTTGTATGAAGAGTAAATATAAACTATACCATTGATTTCAATAAAGTCATCTAAAGGTAATGAGATCCAATTGAATGGTCACGCTTCTTTGAAAATAATTTTTCTCTCCTTGAAATACAATACAATGTGAATCATTTTATAATTCCATAAAATTTTGTGAAACACATTATGTCAAACACTTGGTTATTCCTATAAGGATATTTTAGATAAACCAAAAATATCTAAACTATCCAAACCATAACCCCCAAGAAGGAGAGTTTGATTACGAAGATTGCGAGTTTATTATTTTGAGGATCAGCAAGAGCAGAACCAGTGAAGAAAACAATAAAGAAGAAGTTTTTTTTTTTCTACTGTTAACAGAATTAACAATATATTTTTAGTAGAAAACGGGATTAATACTATACCTTGGTGGGTCTTTCTGTGGAAATCTTCACAGACAATCGTCATTTTTTGATGATTTTTTTCGTCGGGTTTAAAACTTCGATTTCCTCAAAAGAAAATATAGTAAAGGCTCGCCTCAAAAAACGATAGTGCTTATGTTTGAGAGGAAGAATCTTAAACTTTGGAATGTTAAAACACAATTAAATGATTACTAATTCTATTTGGACATAATTTAATTTTTTTTGGGGTAAGATATTGGGACATAATCTAAGGATATAATTTGAGGACGTAACACATTTTGACCATTAGATTGATAATGGAGTGCATTTAGTGTTAGAACTCATTGATAATTTAATAGTCACAATTATTATGTTCGAGACTTCTTGATTAATAGTGAACCATCATCATATATATATGTATGTAGATAATAGATGGGACTTTTGGTGGCATGACAGTAGTAAATGTACATGTGAACAATTATAGCTGTTAAGGAGTGCAAAGGGTGCTTAGGAAAGGCACCAAGGAGTTATAACCGGAGAAGTCGAGTGTGCCCCCCAAGGCTTAGCATTGAAAAGGATCTGACAACTCATTAATGACTCTTGAGTTTTGAGTGTTTATAACAGGACCATTAATGAGAGTTTAAATTCTCAAAAAATGTGAAGACAGTCATCAATACAAGTCATTAATAGTCATTACGTCGACTTGATAAATTCCGAAAATGCTTATTTTCGAGAAATAAACACTTGGACATAGATATCAAGCACTGAGAGGGAGTATTTAATGATTGGGGGATGAGACATTAATGCTCGGCGATGCCCGAGCAAAAGTTTACATGCTTGAGGAGATTAGTCATTACATGATGGGATATCACTCATGATGCTAGGATATAAGTGCAGACCATTAAATTTTAAGATGTGACTCAAGGGTATTGTCATCATTGCAAATCCAAATATAAATTTCCCTCAAGAAGTTAGACCAATGTACGCAATTCGAATCCAAAACATACCCTGTGTTTATGACTCTTAGGCCGATTGACTTGGGTTTTGGAGGAGATTAGCCGGTACACATCCGGCCAGGAAATCACCCGTGCAATAACTCTGCTTTATTTACATCAACAAATCCTAGTTACAAAGCAAAGAACCCATCTTGTCAAGGACAAAGACAATATTCGAGAATAGAGAGCTATATGAACTTGAAAAAAAAAAATTGAAAAAAAAATGTAAAGAAGAACTGCTATATCACACTGGTTCTCGACAGACATTGGATTAAGGAGTACTGGAATATTCCTATCTTGTCTTCACAATGGTGCCTTTACATCCATGTTTGTAGTTATTGTGCATTGGTCTCAACTGGCATTCACATCTTTCCTTAATTTCTAGTCATTAGGCATCCTTTGAACTGAATGATCTTTCAACCCCAGAAGGCTGCTGTGTCGCATGTCGTCGATGCATCACTGTAAGTATTCAGATCATTCATCGTGGAACCTTCACTGGCTTGCCATCTCTGCAGGGCTTGAGGGAGGCTCATCCGAAGGTTAATACCAAAGCCATCTTCTTCCTCATCGCTGGTGGGTTTCCATTGCTCCACAAGTGGGGACAAGACATTAACCGCGTGGCCCATATCCGGCCTCTGAGATGGCTCCCTAGCAGTGCAGTGTCTTGCTAGTTCTGATACTTTGAAGATGCTCTCTAAGGTTTCTGTGTCTGGGTCCAGGGATGGATCTATGGACTGTCTGATGTTGTCTCTGTTAACAAGGATTCTTCGGAACCATGGAACCAAATGAATTCTATCCTCTGGAAATGTCTCATCCAGTGCTCCTCTACCCGTAATCATCTCCATCAATACCACCCCATATGAGAAGACATCAATTTTTGTGGTCACTCTTCCAGTAGCTGTGTTACAAAGCAAAGATGCTGAGTCAATAATCCTAGCAATTAAACGCACGGAGAGATTATATTTTATAGGATAAATTACACTTTACCCCTTGAATTATTATCTTTGTTTTACTTTGCACCCTTAAGTATAAAAAATCTCACATTGTAACCTAGAATATCAATTTTGTCTCATATTACTCTAATAGATAATGAGTAACTGTGCATGTTAGTGGTTTGTACCCTATTGCACATGTGCAAGTTAAAAATCAAGAAAAATACTCATCCATGATTTTATCCTTCTTAAGCTTTTGACCAACTTTTTTTTCTTACCAACAACTATTGGTTGCAAAAAGAGGTAAAATAAAGTGGCATTAGGAACTTGCAGATTTTCAAGATGCCGCCGTTATCTATTGAATTGATATGAAATAAAATTAATACTTTAGAGTATAATGTAAAAAGTTTTATAGTTGAGAGTACAAAGTGAAACAAATAAAATATTTTGGGGGATAAAGTGTAATTTACTCTATTATGTATATACCTAAGAAACTTACTGAAGCAAAAACACACGACTTTGTACATACCAGCATACTCTGGAGCAAGATATCCAAAAGTCCCAGCTAAACGAGTCTCCACTGAGTATTGCCCTTCAGGTGCATTCTTAACCAAACCAAAATCAGAGACCTTAGCCCTCAAATTGTCTCCCAGGAGTATGTTATTCGGTTTCAAATCTCTGTGGATGAAACTCTGCTGTGCTAAGCTGTGTAGATATTCAACCCCTCTGGCAACATCCAGTGCTATGGTGACTCTTTCCTTCCAAGTAAGTGGATGAAACCCCATTTCATCAAAATGGTACAAATGCTGCCCCAGTGTCCCCTGGGGCATATACTCATAGACCACAAGCCTTTCATTTCCATCGACACAAAAACCATGAAGCGCGACTAAATTTCTGTGTCTAACCTTTGTGAGAACCTCGATTTCAGCCTTGAACTCATTCAGCCCTTTGTTATTCATCGAAGTCGATTCCATCCTCTTCACGGCTATTTCTGTCCCATCGTGGAGTTGTCCTCTGTAGACGACGCCAAATCCACCCTTACCCAAGATGTTATCTTCACTGAAGTTATTTGTCACTTCTCTCAAAACTTCTATTGGAATAGCAACATTCCCACCATCATAGACGTGAATATCACTGTTTGGATCTCTACTTTGACCTGATGATTCACTTGCAAGGGCGTCATAGCTAGTCACTTTAGCCCCGGCATCTTTCTTCTCCTTTTCTTTCCAACTTTGACTGCCACTAACCCACTTAAATCTCCCACTGCGCTTCTTCATGTAGCATTTATATATTACCAAAAACAGAGCAACAATTAAGATCACAGCTATAACTATGGTACCAACAATCCCCCATGGAGAGATAGAAGACTCAGTTGTAGTTGCTCCACCCGATGGACTATTTGTCCCAGTGGATGAACTTCCACCAGGAGAAGTATTATTCGGAACAGAGGGCAAATCTGTGCCAAGTAATGGATTGCCAGATGTTTTAAGCATCACATATGAAGCAAAAGGTGGTATTTTTCCTGAAAGATTGTTGTTGGAGACATCAAGAAGCTGTAGTTGTGCTAAACTAGTCAGACTATCCGGTATGGAACCGGTGAGTTTGTTATCATTCAAAAGCAAATTCTTCAATGCAGTCAAGTTAGCAATGGCGGGCGATATTGTACCAACCCAATTCTGCTTCCCAAAATTAATAGCACTCACACTTCCCTTCAAATCACATGAAATAAAATTCCATTGTTTACAAGCATTATTCCCTTCCCAGGACTCAGCCAATGTCATAGGATATCCCAATGCCCCAGCAACCTCAAGTAATGTTGTCACCTGAGGGTCACAAGGGCCTGGACTTGTATTACAAAAACTGTTTGTTTCTCCAAGTGTCACCTGAACATTTTTAGGAAAACTAGGCATTGGACCCTGAAATTTATTATTCTGTAAAGACAGATTATGAAGCATAGGAAGCGAAATCATAGAATCAGGAACCACACCCGTTAACTGATTATCGCGAAGCTGAAGATCATTTATGGAAGTACAATTTGAAAGATCAGGAATTGGCCCAGAAAACTGATTTGATTGAAGCCAAACCTGTTGCAACTGTGACATTGTGCCAAGAACATCAAGCCTACCTGAAAGACCCATCAACTGATTGTTAAGCCATAAACTCCCAATCTGGGACTTGCCAAACGATGCCGGTAAAGAACCTGTAAGATTGTTATACGAAAGGCTAAGATTCTGCAAATTACGGAATTTCCCAAATATGTCTGGAATTGTACCCACGATGTTACATTGCTTGGCGAGTAAGGCAACAAGCGCTGTGGACTCAAAGAGGGAATTGGGGATGGTCCATGGAGGAAGATTAGGGTTTTCACCGATGCTTAGTATTTGTAAACTCGTCAAGCCTAAGAGGAAAGGATTAGGAATGGAAGAAAAGTTGTTGTTGTCAAGAAAGACTCGTTCGAGGGACGTGAGGTTTGATAGGGACGGTAATGCCCCCGAGAGCTGGTTTCTTTGCAGACTGAGGGACCGGAGATTGGAGAGTTGGTTGAATTCCGATGGTAATTCGCCGGAGAGTGATTTACCGCCGAGGCTAATGGAGGAGATTCTGCCGGAGGAGTCGCAGGAAACGCTGGTCCATTTGCATGGATCGGAGCCGGACCAGCCTGTCGGAGTTGGGGAAAGGGATTTAGCAAGCTTGGCCATGATGGCCGCGTCGTCGTCGTCGACGGCGGAGACATGGGGAGGAGAGAGGAGATTATAGTGGTGATTGTTATGAGGAGGTAGATGAATTTTCTTGAAAATTCATTCTCTGTTTCTTCCATTTTGAATCTTGGTTTTGTTCGTGGTGGTTTTGGGTCTCTTTCTCCCTCATCGGCAAGAGAGAGAGAGATGTTGGTGTTGATCGCTTGAATTGTGGAGGGAGTAGCGAAGGGGACGGACAGACCGTTATGAGAAGGTGATCAAGTTTAAGAATTTTACGTACATGATATATATCCACTTTAATATTTTTCTCCTATTTTTTCATGTATTAGTAAAAAACCTATTTACATATAACCAGTCTTATTTAAATTCACGATAAATAATTTATTAAGAAGTAAAATAAATTTATAATATATTAAACTCACTTTTTACTTAAATACATGATAAATAATTTATCACCACCACCCCACCCCATATTCCAAATCCTCATTCCCATCTTGATCCCGACATAAATATTATTGTAAATTGTTTATTATTATACAAAATAAAGAAAGATGAAAAATTTAAATTTGAAATAGTTTGATGGGAATAGACGCATAATTATTATTAAATAATTCAACATTATAAAAATATAATATTTCATAATGAAAGTTATAGGTAAAGATAGTGAGGATTTTGAACAGAATTGAGAGTTTAGTTAGAGTAGGTTTATGAGAAAATTAAAAAGAGTGAAAGACTGTCATTGGTAAATTAAAATATATATAAAAAATTAAAGATTCTAAAAATTAGTATCTAGGATTTAAAGCTCATACAAGAACTACATTTAAACAGGATATAAAAGATTAGGAGAAAATATGATTTATAGAGAGAATATTTCTTTAGCCACCTCTTTTTAAAATTGTTTTTGGAGTTAATTACACTTTGTTGTCTCACCTATCATGTTTTGCACATTATACTTTCAACTATGATTATTAGGACATCTCCAACTTTTACTTTTTTATAAACTCAAATTTAAATTTGAGTAAAAAATTCCTAAAAATTGTCTCAAACGCTATGCCCAAACCTATATCAAATTAAGGAGAACTCAAAATTTTACCCAAATTAAGAGAGACTCAAACTTTACTCAAATTATCAATAGTTAAATTTTATTCTCCTTTAAAAATCTAATAGTCGTATTTTATTTTTTTTTTTTTAAATTTAGATTTGTCATCATTTAAATTTTGGTTTAACCTCCTTTACCTTTGAATTTCTCTATTGGAGTATTTTGTATCAAATCAAACTTTTTACTTATTTTATTACTCAAATTTGGGTAAAATTTTGTGTTTACATTGGAGATAGTCTTAGTTTTATTTTGCCCTAATGATTAGCATCCACCACTAAAATTTTGAAGAGAGGTAAATTTATTTTGTATCCACATTTTTTTGTTAAATCAATAACAGATATTTGTATTTTGGGTAATGTGAAACCAATCAAGTAGGTGACAACAAAATCTAAAAAAAATTATGGTTGAGAGGACACAAACCTCATACCTTGATTATTATAGTACATAACTAGTAGTCCACCTTGTGCAATGCACGGAATTATTTTTTTATTTTATTAATATTCTATCCATTAACCTCTATCATGAGCAAAGAGGTCATGGGGATATCTTTTGGTTAATTTGGACAAATTTAAATGCATTTTATTTTTTTTAATAAATTTTCAACATTAATGAGTAAAAGACTTATTTATATATACAATAAGCTCAATGCAAATACATAATAGGTGATTCGACAAAAAAAATTGTATCAAAAGAAATTTCACTTTTATTACATTGAATTGAAATTCCATAATTGTCTGTTATGTGGACACCAATGCCTGCGATAATTGCTCTGATTCTATGTTTTTATGTACCATGCATTTAAATGAGATCTATTACGTATAAGTGAATTTCTCATTTATCGACCTTGTCAATTCATAAGTTTACCCGGCCAAATGCAAATATTACAACAAAAAAAAAAAAGAAAAGAAAAATTTTAGTCACAATTCATCTAGTTTACTATATCATCAAGAACACTCCCCCTATTTCCTAAATTTTTACTAACACATCCTGTCAGATTAAAGGTATTAATTAGAATGTAATTTTATTAAATTGTCCATAATATATTTTAGGAAAAACTTCATCTACACCCCTTTTAGATAGACATATTTGAGATCCCCTCTATTTTTTAAATTTTTTTACGTATTAAAATTCAGGCCGATTAAATTTTGATTTGAATTAATTAAAATTTATTTTTTTCATACTAAAATTTGAGTTGATTAAAAATTTTATTTTTTTGCGCATTAAAATTTGAGCAAATTAAAATTCTATTCAAGGTTCAAATTAAATTGGCCCAATTTTCGATACATAAAAAATTATAAGTTTTAATTGACTCAAATTTTAATAAACTTAAATCAAATTTTAATAAATTAAAAAAATATAAATTTTAATCTATTTGAAGTGAATTTTAATCGGGATTAACACTTCAGGTAGAACTCAAATTGACTCAAATTTTTATTACGTAAAAAAAGACTTTTAATAGACTCAAATTTTAATACTTAAAAATATAAATTTAATCGCTCGAATCGAATTTTAATCGATTCAAATTTTAATATGTAAAAAAAAATTTAATCAACTCGAATTTTATAAAAAAAGATTGTTTGTGATTTATGAAGGAGTAATTTTAGTATTTGAGATAATTTGTTTTTGTTATAAATCGTAGTTTAATAGCATAGGGTGTGATTGATGTTTAAATATAAACTAGAACAAATGTCGTGATATTTTTGATAATAGATGAGATATTTTTAAAGATATAATAAACAAAAAATGGTGTGACGAAAAATGATGTGACCCGAGCCCGCCCGAATTATACTCGGGTAATATTCGGATTGAGTATCTCGAGTTGAAATAGGGTTAGAGTTAAAGATTATATACCTAAAGTCGGGCTAGAGTTGACCTCTTAACTCGCCCAAATTGCACCCTTATGTATCTGTGATCGATTATGGTCCCCACTGAACAGTTGTAACTTCTCCCTTATGAGTTATAATTTTTCCAAAAAAATAATAACCGAAGTCGGTAACGTAGAATTCCCCTTAGTCAAGGGGCTAATCTTATTTTGCACCCCAATGATGTTTTGATTTTAATTTATTCTTTCAAATATTAAAAATCATGAATCGATAAAAATGTGAACTTTATTTTTCCTTCATAAATTAGAGCACCTAGTGTACGAATGTTTCGGGCATGAAAATGAGATATGCCCATATCACTAGGGACAGCTTAATGGAACTGGGGCCTAAAGCAAAATATATAAATGGGGCTATATTTAACAAAAACACTGTATTGCAAAGCTTCATTGCCTTCTCTTATGCTCTTATCTATTAGAGTTCAGTAGCGCTAGACTCAAAAGCCCAATCCCGGAATGATTTCATGAGAGATGATGCGACTCTTCTTTACCCAAGGTAATAAATGGTAGCCATATCCTGTTGCTTTTTGAAGTTTTATTTATTTTTTTTCCTGCAAAATGGATGTCCATAACTGGAACTTGTAGAATTGGTATCCCTGCCTTATCTAGTTCTTAATAGAAGGATATTTTGGAATGAGAAAATGCAGCTAAGTCCCTTATGGATGCATAACAAAATTGCCATTCAATAATTTGCTTATGTATTGATTACGAAATCGTGACCGCTATTGCCATGCCAATGAGAAACTCGAGTGATGGTTTCTATTATTCAACAATCATTTATTTCAAAAGTTTAAATTATTAAAAATAGTGTAACTTTAATATTTACATGCCTCTCACGTGTAGGCTAAATTATGTTATATTGCAACATGTCCTCTCACGTGCACGCTAGATTATGTTATACTTCAACACACCCTTTTACGTGTAGGCTAGGTTGTGCACTTAATACGTGAACATTTTTCAATAATTAGGATGTCGGTGATATTCAAATACAAAATCTCCTGTTCTAATACTATATTAAACAATCATCTATTATAGAAATTTAAACTATTAGAAAGAATATAATTTTAGTATTTTATGGGACATTTTTTAAAATTAACGAGAAATCGACACATATCATCAGCATGAGGGATGTGGGCAGTCTATCGAGCGACGTGTGTCCTCGACATGAGTAACCCTTGACTTTCTCTGTGAGTGATACGTGACCTCGGCATAAAGGTACCCTCCGAACATGACGTACATTGATACATGTTCTCTGCATGTATTCCTTCAAAGTTCTCTGCAATTGACGAGTGTACTTGGCATGGAAACCCTAGAGCATTGTCGTGGTAACACGTGTTCTCGACATATGTCTTATCTCGAAGAACCTTCACGAGACATGTCACCTTGGCGCCTAGCCTTCCATGATGGCAAAGTATGAATAGCAATTTCAATGATTATTGTAACTTGGAAACGGAGTTGGATGCTTGTCACTGACATTCCTTCCCGAGGCAACTTGAATTGCAAAGGGATATATCAACAACCAAAAATAGTGATGTACGAGGTGCAGAGTACAAAATTGGGAGGCAATGGACAACAGTGTCCCTACACATACGTAGTTGCCACAAGGAAATATTAAATGAATTTTTAGAAGGATGTGATACATTTATTACTCGGCAGATCTCAGGATTCGAGCATTAAATGTAAAAACTTCTTTTCGAGGACTGTGCTTTACAGGTCGACTTCCAAATGGGCCAATGAAAGCTTCCTCTCCAAGAGACCCACCTGTTTGCAATGATTACCTCCATAGAGATATAAATAACTCTCACAAATTCGAAAAAAATGTACACACACTTTTTTCCCAGCAATAGAACAGTGAATTCTCACCCGTCTCTCACACACTGATTTGATCATGGGTCACGCTGAAAACACATTCTGACACCCTTCTAACCTTTCTTTTTGAGTGACCGAGTTCATTTCAATATGCCGGAATCGTTTGGATCGTTGAAAAAAGAAATTTATCACCATTTCTTATATCATCTCCCA